GTGCTGTTTTCATTCTCTGTTAGTTCAACCGAAGTGTACAGCTGCTGTGGCCGTTCGTCCCGCTTGCATTCTTCGAAACAAGATTGGCATGTCTCAGCCCCTGACTCAAAAGCAGCTTGTGCACTGTATTTAAGTACTTACGCTCAGCTGTGGACAGTGTCTCAATGCAGCCGGCTCATCGATGAATCCTTTGGACGCCATCTCAGCTGTAGAAAATCCCCTAGTGCACGTGGTAGACTCCAATTACTTAAGAGGCCAGTTGACATCCATACCACTCAACACACCTCCACCAAAGTTGTGTCTCACGCTCGCTGCTGAACTGTCCCGATCGGTCAGGTGGGTTGTTCCCTAACCCGTGCTCACCGTCCGCATCCCCCCTGGTCCGCGCGCCCCGCGCCCTATGTCCCCCGTTCAGTCGCGCGTGACACACTCATCCGTCCACGGTGCTATCTGCACCCCCGAGATGACCTCGGCGCTCCTCGCGACGACCAGATGAATCGCCTGTGAGCGCCGGTACCGACGGAAGATGGCGGCCGCGGTCACTGGGGCGCGTCCCCCGCTGGGCGGCCCCGCCGCCGGCCGGTCGAACTGCCCCTCCCCCCCCTCCCCCTCCGCCTCCTCCTCCTCCCTTCGCTCCTTCGAGGCGGCCTCGGATAGAGCCATGTAGCCAGTATGTGGGTCAGTGGGGCGCACACGGGCAGGGATAGCAACTGGTCAGTGGGCTGTTGTAGAGAGAGCTTCTGGCCACGGACTGTCGTGGTTGTATCTGGGAACGGGTTCAAGGTAGGGTATGGGAGTCGTGGCGCCTCCCATGGAACCTGCTTAGGGACCACATGAAAAACAAAATTCTGGGACCCGCGAGACTAATTGGGGTCCTAAGGACCCGTCGAGTCTCCAGGAGCATGGGCGTGCATAAGACGCGTGGCCACTATCAATGCAATGCGCGCAATATGTGCGCGAGATTTTCCAGCAGAATTGCTTGATAATTCAGATTTTCTTTCTGAATTTGAGATTTCTTTTTGATCGCAGTTATTCTTTCCAAATTGATATTTGCTTTGAGAGGTCTTGTGACGTTAGAAATTGGATAGAACATAAACAATGGGGCATGGATCCGATCGGTCCTAATGGGGCCCATCGCCATTGTAGGGTCCCGCGAGATTAAATGCCCCAACTGGAAAAAGTCCCAGCCCCACCACCGTTTTTAGCTGATCCGGTGACTCGGGCCTAAATCGGAGCATCTGCTAGGTAAACCTCAATATGCATTAAGTCCACTTGTATTAAGTTTGGATGACATCAAAGTCAGATTCTGGCAACTAACGGAACAAATGCATCCAAGTGGCATAGCGAAATGCTTGCTGCAGTGCATGCACTTAGCAGCCTGTCGGTGATCAAGGCAAGAACCGCAATAATACTATGACAAACCGGCTCATTGAAGCACTTCAGCTAATGTTGACTGGATGTTACGCATCCTACCCGACTTGGATGCCCCGTTGGTGAAATTCTGAAGGATGCTGCGAACACTTGAACATGCACAAATGCAAATTGCAAAGAAGCCACACAAAATAATATCTGTAGTTCGTTTAACGGATCTCGGACGCAAGCAGACCTTGACTACAACCTTACGCAAGCATCTTAGTGTCTGACTCAAGTAAATGCAAAGACAAGGAACGCAAGAACTGGGCAACAAGCCTGGTTAGCTACATCACAATGCACACTAGCTCCTCGTAAAACACACTCAAATGAAACGATCTACTTCGTCGTTTTATTTAACGACATTTGTGGCCATAGCAGGCGGCCCAGAACTGTTCCGTTGGCAGTGGGCTCTAATCAATACCCGTCGAAGGGTGCTGATAACTGGTTTAGGGTCAATCTGACGGATTTTGAGCACGCTACCACGAATCTGCTTCTAGCTCGGGCTACCAAATTACCGTTTGACGTTGCCCTAAAGCCCAAGAGTTATGGAGGTCGTCAAGATTAACCGCCCCTTTCGAGGCGTTTAATAGCAGAGTAACTCTGACCTGCGGGAAGCACCTGCTATGCTGCTCAGGGCTTTTCATGATCTCGCATTTATATCAACTGTCCATTACTTAAACAGCTAAATGATTCATGGAGATACCAAGCGAAGGCCAATGCCACTGAATATTGCTTGGTCGCCCAACAGAGTAAACGACCCTGAGCGGGTCGTGAAATCCATGCTAGCCTGTAACTTGATGCGGTGACACTTGTGTGATCCTGCGATGGATTTCTGATTACGTTGGAATTCAAACGCATGCGTCAATAGAACTGATGGTGATGCGCCGGCAAAACTATGCTATGTAAAACAAAGCTGGCGATTGGTTCGCCCACCCCGCATACGGTTCGGCCACCCCGCATACGGTTCGCCTACCCCGCGTACGGTTCGGCTTCACTGCACACGGTTCGCCCACCCCGCATACGGTTCACCTACCCCGCGCACGGTTGGGCTTCACCCCACACGGTTCGCCCACCCCGCATACGGTTCGGCCACCCCGCATACGGTTCGCCTACCCCGCGTACGGTTGGGCTTCACCGCACACGGTTCGCCCACCCCGCATGCGGTTGGGCCTCAACGTAGTTTACCCATTATTTTCCAAACCCAGAGTGAGATGCACATCGTTAACACATCGTACTTGAACGCGAATGGGCTTGAAATGAAGCCACCATATGCGCATATTTAGCTTTGAGACCGACACGGGGCGTAGTTCAACGCTGACGTCACACGCGTCGTGGCGCAGTCAAGACATAGTTAACCGACACTTCCGTCTCCTGTTTGATCTACTGATGTGGCATTCGCGCACCGATTCAGAGCAGCGCCTACTTCATCGCTGATCGTCACTGATGAAGGCTGCTGCCTAAAGTTACATCGACGTTCTTCGACGAGGCGCGGACACGATTAAATCACATACCGGACAGCGAGAACCGCGTAACATCAGTGGCAGGAGGTCTGTCAGCTCCACGCAGTAGATCACCATGGGTGGCGTGTGTAGGCCTGATTCGCAGTCTACATAGTGCTACACCAAGTGCCGCTATTCGATGTCAAATTGAATAAAGGGTCGCGCGTTATTAGCGTATTTGCCATTTTCTTCCACCCTGTGCATAACATGCATGCAAAGCTTAACACTTCGGAGGTAAACTAACCTCCCTGCATCTGGTTGGCTACCAGCATTTGTATAATTCAAAGTACCACCCACCAGAGCAAAATAATGAACCTAAACTCTTGCGTCCTAAATCATAGTCAAATCTGACGTTAACACGCGCTCGGGCGGGGGTCAAATTGACCACCCCCTCGAAGGTTTTTCCAGAATGGTTTCTGAATGGCGCTGCGTAGCCGCGCCAAATTTTGCTTTAAACAATTTAACAGCGGATCGTTTGGTATAAGACATTTATATGTACCTTTTAAGGTCGCTGACCTAAGGCAGGTCAAGATCAGGCCATGGTTTCAGCGAATACATTTTCCAGGAAATCGTTCAATCTGATGCAGCAACGAAATGTTATACGAAGCCATACGTCAATTAGATGCTTTCCTAGGCAATACAAATATTGAATGAGCAAATTAAGTTGACTTAAAGTCAGGTATAAAGGTCAAACCAAGGTTAAAATCAACCTGTTTTATCACTCTAGGGCTTGCTGTATGGGATCATTTCTGGTGCTCATTTCGAATTTATTAATAGCACGAACCGCATTATACATCTTCCATTGACTCGTTAGAGGTCAGAATAGGTTACTGAGCTAAAATGGCCCTGGTCGACATTTTGATGTTACGAACTTACTATCTGGTGTAATCTTTGTTGCTTTTTCAAATCCAAGGCTCAGAGCAGCTTTGTATGACTGTGGTCACCAAAACCTTCAAAAGATCAAACAAGGTCACTGACCTTGAATGAGCTTGTGACATTTTGCTTAGAAACAGTTATCCAGGTTCTGGGGGCACTTTGGTTGGAAACCAGCCTGGAGTTTGACCTTGGTTAACTTTATTTGACCCGAAGGTCATGAACTAGGAGGCTCAAACTTTGACCTAAGTCAGTTCACGCGCAGGTCAACACACCCTGTAAATTTGGTGTCTCTAGCTTTCTTAATTCCCGAGATCTCAGGAGGGGTTAAATTGACCCCGCGCCCGAGCGAAGGGCATTTAGCCGGCCACCCGGGCGCGTGCTCATTTCATGACAGCAACCCTCTGAAGATTTGCAGTACGAGCAGTTCAACATTCAGGAACTCCGTATACCAAATGCCATGTCATTGGGATAAGGAAAATCAGAATTAAAAGGGTTACAAGGACCCCTTCCCACTGGCATGCGGATGGCCGGGTGGAGACCAATGAGATGGTCAATTCGCATTTTGAGTGAGGATAGGTCCTAGTAAGTTCGCTACGCAGTCGCATGATTCACTCGTGGCACACATGGCCCATGCGCTTACGCATTCTCCCCGGTCATGAGTAGCTGTTGAACGCCCTACAAAGGCGCTGCGTTTTATGAGCATGACCATGCGCCTGTCCCACCTTGCACCAAGTGGAACGCAAGCTGTGCCGCCGTACACCTTGCATCCTCATGCTTCAAAAGTTGAAGCATCGCGGCAACCTATAAATCCTTTCAGGCGTCCGTGTCTGGCACAATCGTGCACATCATGACATTGATCGAGCGTTCCGAGTTCCTTATACAGGCGGGGACTGTGGTGCTCAGTAACAGTGTGGCATGGCTTGCAGCTCTTTACTGCAAGTTATTCGGTACAAAGCTGTACTCTATGCTCTGACATGTAGCGAACAATTTTCAGAACATCATGCTCAGATTCAGTCCGGACCATCGATGAGTTTGGTTTGCTCAGTTCGGCTGTCGTAATATTCATGTAAACTTTTTGCCTTGTTTGCATCGTTTGGTACTTGCTTCTAATGAGACGAAGGGCATAAAGCAGGTCACCTTATATTGACAACAGGCAATATCGAACATTGACAACTGACATATTCGTAAGCAATAAAAACGACACATAGAAGTCTACTTCTTCTTTCGCTTTTTACCCTTCTTCTTTCTTCCCTTCTTTGACTTCTTTTTAGACCCTTTGCTCCTTTTCTTTCTTTTAGCCTTTTTTCTTTTCTTGCCTTTCTTCTTCTTCTTCTTCCCTTTCTTTGTTTTCTTCCCTTTCTTCCCCTTCTTCTTAGTTTTCTTTCCTTTCTTGTCCTTCTTTTTCTTCTTTTTCTTCTTTCCTCCCTTGTCTTTCTTTTTCTTCTTACTCTTCTTTTCTTCCTTATCCTTCTTCTTTTTCTTCTTCTTCTTGCTCTTCTTGTCCTCCTTGTCGCCTTTGCTTTTCTTTTCCTTGCCAACCTTATCTTTCTTTTTCTTATGTTTTTCTTTTCTTCCATCATCACTGCCGCCATCATCCCCACCATCATCGTCGCCCCCACCGCCACGATTTCCTCCTCCTCCCCGCCTCCCCCTCCTCCTCCTCCTCCACCCATACCGCCGAAGGCACTGGCAAAGTCGCCAAATCCTGACGAGTCCTCGCCGTAACCAGTGCTGTCATCCGTCTCCGAGAAGTCGTCGTCTCCGCCGTCGTCGTCATCAGTCCAGGACGGCGAAGACGACCCACGCGACCGGCGCTCTCCTCGCGGGCGGCCTCTCTCCTCTTCCTCGTCCTCGCTGGATTGCTCCAGTTCCTCTTCGTAGAATGCGGCATCCTGCGCGGACATCACAAGAGTTGTTGAGCAAAGCTCTAGGCGCGTTCTCAAACCTGGAAACCTGCTTGCGAGAATAATCGCAAGACCGCACCCAAGGTTCAACGTTGGCAAGCCTGTCCGTGAATAGCACATTTCGTATTTTGTCTCGAACTGGCCCTCGCTAAATGAACGCCGAGTGGAGAAGCAGAAGCCAGTATAAACTCACTGGATCCTCAGTGGGACGCTGATGCCAAGGGCAACAAACCTCTGTCTTACCGGAGGCTCAATGTCTGGAGCTGGGCCGCTGGAGCACGGCCACTTCTTCATGATGTACCCCGGTGCCATCATTTTCGGATTTCCCCAGTTGTAGGCCAAGTCCATTGATGTTTGGAGCCATCTTGCCATCATAAGCATGATGAGCTGAGTGGAAAACATTCCCGGCGCGTAAAATACGTTGAATGCATATGCAATACAGGCGCCAGCTGATGGTAGTTAGGCCGTATGCCGGCAGTCATTAGCTGCGCAGTTCTGCTTCGTTACTCGTCCAGAGCTCTCCAGCGATGCTGGGATATGCGTTACCAGAGCAATCAATGAAGTCGTCTGCTTTCCTTTGCACGCGTCATTCGGCATCAAGCGTAATGATACAAATGGATGGTGATGACGTATTTTGCTGTGGCTCCTTGAACAGTTTGAATACTCTGTCTTAGACCGACGTAACATCAGAGTCAGATATGTTAGGCATCAACATAATAACCATTTAAATCTTTTCAGCCCTCGCGAGACTTAACTATTATTGTTCTGTTTCCAATGGTCTTAATGTATGACTATGACTTGTGATGAGCAGACAAAGGAGAACTGGGGCTAGATGCTGCGTATTATAAGACGTTGAAATCAATGTCGTCATGCCCCAGGCCCGCATGCATTGCGTGCAAGCATAAACCACCGTAAAATATTCAAGGACATGTGCAACACGCTCAGCGTAGCATCACAATGAATACGGTGAATGGTTTAATCACCGATAACATTGAGAGCTGCAAAGGAGAAGAAAGCTGTGATGTTATCTTCACGCTTCTCTCGCCACTCAGGACGCAGTGGTTATGTTGCAGGTTCACAAATTGATCCTGCAATATACCCCTTTTAACGTCACGACCCACGTTGCACCAACGCCGCATGAATCGACTTGGCTTGCCATGCCAAACGATCAGATCGGCACATCATGCCATGTATGCCATAGTCATGCATGTCATGTATGCCAAACGCCAAGCATACATGTCATGCGTGCTTCGCTCAATATCTTTATTCGTATCCAGTGATGAATACGTGCAGCTACATAATCAAACGAAGTCCGTACATTCATGCCGCTCACATAAGAAGTACGTTTGTCCGCTTAAAAATCATTTGATGAGCTCGTCCGGAGTGGTGGAGCAAAGCCGTACCTGAAAGACCCATATGGTGAGCAATGTGGTCATGCCCATGCCGATGACCCAGAAGACGGTCTTGGAGAGGGCAACGCCGCAGCCCTGGCGGTGGAAGATCTTCTCCTGCAGAGCCTGCCGGCTCATCCTGGCCGGGCGGTACCACCCGTCCAGCTTGACCACGGCGTCCTCCAGGTTCAGCTTCGGCAACAACACGTCCAGCTTACTCTCGAACGGGGAGTCAGTTTTGGCTGCTCCGATGGGGCCCTGGCCGCGAAGGCTCATACCGTGGAGGTTGAACTTTCGGAAGCCCTTCGCAAACGCCTTCGAGTACGCTTTCGCGGGCTTTGGGGGCTTTTTCCTACGCCTTTTTGGTGCCTGGGGGAGTTTTTTCTTATCTGTCGTTTTCACTCCCCGATCTGGACTTCTCCGGCTCCGCGCACGGTTCATCGCTCTAATAAAGGTCATCTTTTTCGCAGCGGGATATGCATTCCTTACTGACGCTGTTTCTAATGCTTCTAACGGCAGTGTCCTACGTTTTTTTTTGCCGCGAACACTTGTTCGGTCTGATGAATATCTGGCATGATGCAGCGTGTCATCTGTTTGATGCCTTGTGAAATGCATTTCCTCATTTGCTCTGCTGGCCCGCTGTCTTAGCATGCTATCTCCCCTTGTTTCCCGCACATTTCTTCGTCCTCGGACAGAGCTCGAGTGTGGAATGAACTCCCAAATTGTGTCACAGACCATCAGAATGCTTGCATTGCAGCAGCTCCAAGGCGCCCACGGAAAAATCAGCTCCCCTTCCGGATTTCGATATGAGCTGCAGCATGATGGAAAGTCTGAGATCAGTGCTTGCTGTACAGGGTTGTTGAATCGATTTTACATATATCTGAACAAAGGCGCATATGTGCATTCTTCAGGCTCACCAGCAAGCGTGTTAGACTGCGGGACAATGCGGCAACTGTTCCGTGATTGCTCTGCAGACATTTCCAGACAGCACGAAACGACCCGGGGGTCTGCGGTTTTCAGCAGCAATTCGAAGGCTACCACCCGCCTGCCCAGGGCTATCCAGGCACGTGTTGGTGCTGACGGCCTGGGAGTGTTCTGTACCGTTTGAATCAGACCGGTTAGTTGATTGATTCCGGATATATGTAAGAGAGTGGGAGGGAACAAATAAAAGGTGGCAAATGTCTCTCAAAATGAGCGGTTAAAATGTTCTAGCGGAACGTGAAAATTACTCATATAACTGCTGACCCATCAAAGGGTGTGACCTGTGACAGGTCAAATCAAGCCAAGAGGATAGCTTGAGTTATGGGTCATTAGGATCACATAAACTAGTGCATGAGGCCCGCAGCAGCTATTTCGAGAACAAAACATGACGCACGAACAATACTGAGCGGCGTTTAAATGCATTATCTATCCTTAATATGACCAATACCAACTCAAATAGGGTGGGGCTGAACAAATGTGACTAAACATCACCTTGGAAGAGTTGATGCACAGCCGCATTTTGTACGATGGCATCAGCAGGCATATCAAGGAATGATCATAAGATAGCTCAGTAACATAAAGAACGTTATTAAAGGAAAGTGCTTTGGAAAGAAGACACCGTCGGTAAACCCACGTGTACTCAACCATGAACGCTATCCATCGTGGCCCTGAATGAGAAGTTCGAACCACATGACCAAAAAAGAGGCAATCAATCACGGCCTGTAACAAAAATAATTTCAGGCACACGGCAAGACATCGCAAATGCCTTAAACTCTGTTCTTATTTAGCATCATCCTGTTAATGGTTTACTCTAGGGGTTTAGGAGTCTTCCAAACCTACTTCAGAGATGGGACCATGAGGCCTCCTTATCTGACGAAGGTTAGCAAGGTTCGTGCTGTCGCAGTGTCTGGAAGGCAAGTAAGCTGCATGACCAGCCATCAAATATCGACTCTCAAGATGACTGAAGTCGTCCACAGTCCACCGCCGGCAAAGTCGCGACCATTCCAGCTGAATGCCTGCACTTGGCCGTCGCTGACCTTTTGGTGAACGTTCTGCTGGGCTTGACGTCGTCCATATTGACCCAACTGATGCGCATCCAGTCATCGAATCCCTTAGCTCCGCAGCACTGGTGCCCTACCTGCAGCCGGTCCAGCTGGGCCTTCGTCTCCAAATCGAGCTGTCCGACAGTGACAGTCCGTAAAACATCGTTCATTGCTGGGTAGGCCGTCGGCGATTGCAGCTCGAGCCCAATTCTTATCGACATGTCAAATGGGCTGTTGACGTTTTATTGAACACTGAAGTTCACAGGCACGTGCGAGCGTTCGACGCTGCTAAAAGAGTCGGAGGTTCCGCGCAATTGCAAGTCCACGGGCCACTAACTCCACAGTTTGCATGATCAGACGCCGAACCAAATTCAAAATAATTAATGCGGGTTATCATATAACATAAAGTCTCAGACAATATGACAATTGTTGAAACCTACACGCGTCTCGTGCACTGCCAAGGTTGCTGTTTTTGTCGCGAGCATGTTATTGTGCTAGCTGGATTTCATTCCGGCATTGAACCAGGTGTGTCGGATGGTTCACATCAGCAACATGTCATGCATGGGATAGCCGTCTTTTAAGCAGTTAAAACTATTTCAAATGTCTAAATAACGCCACGTGACTTGCGCCACCGGTGATGACAAGGGATAAGCACTTTGACGCACCACGTTAAGTAATCTGACGTAGTGGTATGATCACTTCATCAGGGGAGTGCCTTGAAGAGAGGGATACAGTCACAAGGGAGCCAAAAAGAAGGCTGATTTTTTATCTCCTGGATTCCCTGTCCCACGCACCTAGCTACAGGCGTCCTCGGTCTGGGGGCCCACGCAGTCGCATAACACCAATCCCGGCCATCCGATCCCCCCCCCCCCCCCTCCCTGCTGCCACGCACCCATCACAAGCGGCAGCGGTGGGCGCGGTCATTGTTTTGATTGCATTGATTGAGCGGTCATCATTGACCGCTCTTCGTCGCCGTACCTTGTATCGGACAGCTGCTTCGTTGAAGCCGGCCACGAACGCCGTCTCGATGAGCCCCTTGTGGATGGCGCACAGGATAAGAGCCGAAACGGGAACAAACGAGACGAGCAGTGCAGCAATCAGCCAGAAGAGGAAGCAGGCGTGGAACCGGTCTCTGGGGCAGCCGTCCACTTCTGTCAGCCAGGGATCGGCGGCTGCGGCGTGCTCGTCAGCACGCTACCACGTCGGGACAGTTGTCGGTAGAGGACGCTCATTGGTGCATTTGTTGGCATTGGTGCGTGCGTTCGGTTTCTCCAACGTGCCGAATGTACATAGGGTCATGTGAACTCCTTATGAATATCTTAAGAGTACTTTGAGGTATCCTTACCTTGTTTTCCAGTTGCCGCAGTCATAGCAAATTTTGGCGCCTGGGGCGTGAAAAATGATGAGGGTTGCCGAAATGCTCAGCATCATATGGAACAGCACATCGGGATTATAGTTCTTGAGAAGTTGTGCCTTGCCCCCGAGCTCCACCCGGATGTAGATTCCGAGAAACAGGACGACGTGTGCCATACCTTATGCACCAAGAGAACATAAATAAGACGCTGTAGTCTGTGGCCGATAAATCGGCTCTCTACGGAACTTGAACGCGTTTTGCATTATGCTGTCATAGTACGCACATTTCAATAGATGCCTATTGCTCGTTTGGTATGCCCATGAACCTGTATAACTATTTTTTACAGACCTTTGTAAGCTTGAACCTGTGCAAACGTGTTTTCGGCAGTATTACTGAACATAGCTGGGCGGATTAGGAGCTGGAATTATGTCGTGACACAATATTCTACGATTTACAATAATCCATCTTTCATAGCATACAGAGGCCCATATAATGGTTTTGCCGTATTCCTTGACATGACCCGTTTTTAACCAGCTTGAGACAATACTCGACTGACTACAGCCACCGAACTTGTTGAATCATACCTGCGATGATGCAATTCACCGTCATCAATGCAATTCCGAGGGTGCCTCTTGACCTTTCCCTCAAAGGTATCTGACATACCGGCATCGTGCTTTCGTTCAATTAAACCAAGGCATGCATGTTGATTGTGCGCACCGAACGGCAGTCTACTTCTACACCAATGACGCTTTTTGTCGTCACGTCTCGATATCAAAATACTAAATTCAGAAGACACTGCTGCATCAAACGTGCCCTGAAAAACGTCAACGTGGTGCTTGGTTTGACCTGACTGACGACAGAGCAGCCATTCTTGCGCACTGCCCCGAAGTCACATTGCGACATAGTTGGTTCATAGATCTCGATCACAAACGAGAACGCGGCGCGCAGGACTGCATCTTTTACATCAAACGCAAACATTACATTAACTAAATTAAGGTTAACATAACTAGCTATAGCGATAGCGGAGCTGGGCGTTCGCCTGAACATGTGATCTGTAAACTTTGATGAGATGTTCGGTTGTGTTTTTGTTTTATTACCACGTGGAGGTTTGCAGAGATGCTCTCCCAATTATGAACAAACTTAAGTCCAATGCAATTTTCTTTCAAATGGAAACGATCCAATGATGTGAATATGCAGAGTTAACAGTCAAGCAGATGATAAATAGATCATCTGTCACCGGGCACCAATTTTTGAACACGAAAAGGCAAATGGCTTAATCAAAGCGGCCAGGTGAATAAAGGACTCTAGTAACGTAGCATATTGTGACATATGATTTCATGAGATCTTAGAATATGACGAATCCAGATGAACTCCGGTGAATATTACCTCCAATGTTTAAGTTGTGTGTTATTTCTTATTATGTTTTCATATAACGTGTGAAGAAGCTTAAAAGACTACACATCTAATTTCATCAGTTCATAAACATACTGAATTCTAAAGTAGCGACTTGTTGCTGCTATAAAACAATTGAACTCAAAGCTAAGATAACTGAGACACCGTTGATGCAAAAATAACATGTTTTCATTGTTAAAGCACATCGTTAAGTGAAACCAGTTCTGGAGGCCTTAACCACTGATGTCATTATTCGGCACCCTGAACAACTAGTGTTAAATACACATTAATGACGCAATTTTCGTCACACCAGGGAATATTTTTGATTCTTTGCCTCCTTGATAGCTGTGGACAGACATCGGCATAAGCGCGTCTGCCGTAGAAGTTTTTGCAATACTTTTCTGCTGTCATTTGCTGTCTTATCGTACAGCATGATGATACAACAATATTAAAGGCAAGTACACGTGGTCGTTTTAGGCTAAGTTAGGTCAAACGCCCAGGTTTTGGCCCACCACGAACTATCTCAAGATATCCTACCTGTCATTAGCGAACATTGACGCAGGTTGCCCGGCCGAAGGTACTAGAGCGAGTGCTTTTCATCAAGTCGGGCCTTGGTGGCGACAGAACTCGGTGCCTGTACCTAAACTGCTTGGTGGTGTTATGGGTGTCTAATAACAAACGTGGCCTAGGAAACTAACTAGTAAATATTTACTGATAACGGTTTGAAGTATTGACGTATACTGGTAGAAGGAGCCGTGCTTTTCCTTGGGACAGGTCCGTGCACCACAAAGAGTTGGGATCAGCTTGACACTTTGTAGAGTCCTCCTGTAATCTCACGAACCAAGGATGACATGACAATGTGAAAAGAGGTATTCAACAGCTCTTGAAAAAATCGATCGGGTGGACACTAATGGAGATCGACACCAGCAATCTACGACATGTCATGCTAGGCTAAAAGATAAAAGTGTGTATTGTATTGTCTCGCTCGACTTTCCCAATAACTAATACAGTCCAGTGAATGCTAAGGACATGGTTAGCAAGGCCATGCCAGGCCGTAAGATACATGTGCATGTCGAACTCGCATGACACGAACAGTCAAATCTAGTTACAAAGATAAAACTTTGACCTACCTCGACCCTGAATAGGCTGACCCTGCCAAAGTAATTATGACGATACAACTGCACTTCATCGTAATGCAGATTTTCTACAACTGCCTTGTAGTGCTCCCATTATGAGTGTATGTTATAGATATCAAAGTAAAACTAGGATTCTGTCTGACTTCATTTAGCCAGGCTTCCTTTGCGTTATCTGTACCTAAAGATGTTTTCCAATAGAAATGGAAATCTTTTACCTTTAAAACTCAAAAGTGATTTTTTGTGCCATTCAGTCTTTTCCGACGATGAGAAAGGATCTCGAAACGTTAGATTGTACAGAGTGACGAATATATTAGTAATTTAAGTAATCTAAGTAAGTAATTTATATAAGTAATTATTATTTGTAATTAAAATTAACAAGGCTTCCTTTGCGTTCTCTGCTCCTAAAGATGCTTTCCAACAGAAATGGAAAGCTTTTACCTTTAAACCTCAAAACTGATTTTTTGTGCCATTCAGTTTTTTCCGACGATGAGAAAGGATCTCGAAACGTTAGATTGTACAGAGTGACTAATATATTAGTAATTTTGTGCGAACCATCTTTAACCTAAGCGATAATGCCAAATCCAAAGCCCGGAAACTCAAACGATGCGTCAAAAAGCTTGTCAATGCTGAGTCAGGAGTTATTTTCAATAGAACCTGTATAAAAGAAAGGATTTTACCCAAATATTCCAACATAAAGCTACACGACCAGGCAGTTAAGAAAGAAAATATTTTTAAAAGGTATAGAGAACGACTTGTAGATCACCAACTGCAGCAAAAGAGAATGGCCTGTGAAAAGAAATCCTGAAGAGAAAAAGTAAGGCTTTAGCAGAAGACCTACAGATATGTTGTCCTACACATGAACTGAAACAAATATATATATATATATATATATATATATATATATATATATATTTCAGATATGGTTTGATGTGTGTATGAGCAAAATGCCAGGCATGACTTGTTTGTCGGCAAGAGGCACTCGTAGGCCGGTCTGCGTTTTGGGGAGAGAAGGGGCAACACAGGTGTGACTTCGAAAAGGAGCCGCTGGGAGCAAACATCTGACCATCCAGATGAAAATACTGAGTTTTGAGCCTTTCAAGCCTGCTCTGTTTTTTTTTTATTTATTATTGCAACTGTTGCTGGCTCTGTAGCTTGACTTCGTCCTGCATTGGGGGTTGGATTCCCCTTTAATCAGTATGCGCATCTTCAAGAATTACAGGCACCACGGCCGGCCAGAATGGGCTTGTCCAGATTACTGTTGTGTGGAATGAATGCCAGCCAATTTCCGTAGTTCATAAATCGAAGGCGTTCGAAGAAAAAACTATCTGAAACTGCCGTTATTGAAAACAAAGTTTCCATTGCGTGGGGTGCTCATTCAATTTTTTCCCCGGGTATATCAATAGGCTTCATTATGTTCTGCAACAAAGTTGTCAAATAAAGTAAACAGCCGGATATGGCTGTCGCACATTTGAAAGAGTACGCTAGCACAGCGCTTTGAAGACAGATGTGATGTAGTACATATTATGTCATATGTGGCAGCGATATGCCGGGACGTTTGTGTTTATGAATCATGCTTAGATACTGAGATACACATGACATCCCTTTGAAGGCAGTCCTTTATCCCCACCCAGAGGCGTCACTGTGTATATTTTTGGGGGTGCCCGAGCCCCATCCCGATGCTGACTTGGCTGACGTCCACCTCCAATGTTTCTTTGAGCCCCCGCTCCCAACCCAAATGCCTATGGGCAAAATGAGAATTATGAGCTATTAAAATGCAGAGAGTTTCCCTGAGTTGCTGGCATGCAGATACATAATCACATTGCCACTAGATTCACGCTGTCCTCAGCCACACAGTATCTTGCATGTGCTTAACAGCCCCTTCACGCCAACTTTAGTTCGACATTGTCCAAAGCTCCTGTCCAATAGACAGGGACGCAATGTTTTAACAGGTATGTCGCATACAAAACTGGGATATACAGGAGTGAAACCCGTCGTTTTTTGCCACCATCTTACTATTCCGTGTTTTGCGGTTACGGACTTGGTCCCATAAGACCGAGTCATAAAGCACAACAGTGATGTGACGAATAAGTTCATGATGATGAAACAAAAACACTTTCGTAAAATCAACGGATTGCTTTGATAAACCTATGGATATTACTTGCGTAATAACCTTACTTTTCCTACTTACCGCGCGTTCAGACTTCGTACAAAATTAAATCACCGTTTCGTTCCGATCTCATAATGCTTGTGAAAAAACGCTATCATTTATCGCGAAGCGAACTCCTTCATTTGTTGCGGCAAACTACAAATATCGACAAGTTTTTACGAGCTGAAACGTAGATCGAGTACACAAAATTGTAATATGGAGAAAAATAGAAGTTTGACTGTTTTAAGACCCTCATTCTTCTAAACTGTATGAGGTACTATGCTGAGGATGAATTACTACGCCCTTCAAGAACATCATAACAATACCACGAACATTGCAGAAATTCAGTCCCTCAAGTCCTGAAACCCAATAAACAGTACTGTGTAAGGACTGTTCAAAACACAGAAAAGCCGAAACGTTTCAATAACCTGTAGGCCGGATAAGGACCTAAGTTTGTATGCGGCGACAGCATTAATTACAACGGCTAGAAAACAACTTTTTCTTACCCTGCATAACTTGAACAATGTTGCTCAAGCCAAGTCCCAGGACCATGTTCGAGTGTTCAGCATCGGAGGAAGCTAAGGATGCGGAACAATTTTGGCATTCCGAGATTCCCTTTTTATTTTGCTGATGTTAAAATCTGTACGTAAAAGTTGGTATTTGTTGCACCATATCCCCTTTACTCGTGACCGGCTACCATGTGTTCACCTAGTGGCTTCTACGTTTTCTGCAAACGTGAGTCTCTAAGGTTTCCATTGTTTTTCTTACCTAAAATGTACCTGGATAAACGCTACAAACGACCTCAAATGCCTGTTTCTTTCGTCTGCATTTTTATTTGAGCCAAAAGCTCATCCGTGGCAAACCTCGCTCGCAGATGGATTCCCCGAGGTCTCGAAGCTTGATCAAACCAGCATTAGCTTCAATCCAGGACTATCAGTCTACGCTGCCTATTTGCACGGATTCTCATTTATGAAAGAAGTTTCACACGACACAGTTTATTAGCCTCAGCTTGTTGCGATTTTTCACCAACGTGTTCTGTTGTTAGATCGAGGACATACAGAACAGGCGACAGACTTAACTCGGTGCTCTGAATATTTGTTCGCAAGGAAAAGAAGACTAAC